GAGTCCATAAGTGACTGTCCTTTATATATGAAACAACTAACATTGATTTAAAAAAAAAAATTATACACACACACACACACACATATATATATATATACCACTGGACAAGTTGCCAGTGGTCTTACAGAAACACCCCATCTCAACTGTGAGCATTACAGAAGTATTCATATTTAGTGCTAATATAATATTAAGCATACCTGATGTTGATATGTAGAGTAGCCTCCTCGACTCATTACCAACCAGATGTCTCTCTGGAATCAAGGAAAGTCCCACAGCCCACTAAGGATGCATCTGTGAGCAGATAAGACTTGGGACAAATGGGAGGAATGGAAACCCCTATCATGGTCAGTAACCTGTGGAGCCACCAAGCATGGTTGGTCCTGATCCCAGTGGAAAGGGTGATCAGATGGTCCAAGGGATCATGGGAGAAGTTCCACTGGTCAAGAAGCATCCACTGAAGGGAATGCATATGTGCCCAAACCAAGAGAATGAGAACTTCCAAGGAAGCCTACATCCACAAAAGTGACAGAACCTCTCATGCAGAGCAAGAAGGAGAAGGTAGGGTCTGACTGAGATGGGAATTGAAGAGAACCCCAATGAATAAGATATTGTGTGGGGGTGATAAGGAACTTCTCTGAGTTGATGAGAAATGCAACCCAAACAGCTTCTCGAAGAAGTAAGCTGGTGAGAGTGACTGACAGGGCAGGAAAAAAGTAGGCAGTAGCCAGTCATCCATATAATGGTGAGTTCAAAGACCCAGTGAAGATGATGTGCAAAAGAGCATAGCACTCAACAAAACACATACAGAGCTAAAGAAATATCAAACGGCAGTGGCCAGAACTGAAAGACACAGCCCTTGTGGATGAACTGAAGACAAAATGTGATACTGGAGCAATTGGAATATAACGATAAGTATCCGTCATGTTGAACTTGGTCATCCAAAGTCCCAGGGAAAAAGCTCACTGAAGTGAGAGGTAGGACTCCATTATGAAGTGAGGTGTCCCCAGATAGGTATTCAGCCAGGACAGATCTATGATGGGTCTCCAATCTCCTATCTTTTGGGGGTAACAAATAGAAGGAAGCGAAATCCCGGGTGAGTGAGCACCAGCCATGCGATAGCTACTCTGTGTAGGAGGTCCCAATTAAGTTTGACTTGACAATTGGATGAGGTACAATCCCAAGGAGAAAGAAAGGAAACCAGAGAAGAGGAGGGGAGGAAAGGCTCGAAATTGAAGGCAAAGATCATCTGAAAGAAACCTTAAAACTCATGAATCTGTCGTGAAGAGTCACCAAATGGTTGAAAACTGTAGCAACCTGGCACCCACCTGCCCTGGAACAAACATCCCATCACCTGTAATGCTGACCTCTGGTGGAATGGGAAAACTGAGGGTAAGGAAGAAGGAGCACAAAGAACACAGACCAGCAAAGGCTGGGTGGGAACAGCAGGATGAGGAAAAATGTAACCTTGCCACATTGATTCTAGATTTCAATGACTCAGGATGACACCCAAACCATTTTGCAAACAAACAAGGCCTAACAAAGATCCCACAAAGAAAAGAGAAGATGCACCCCCTCAAGTAATGCATCCCTCCCTAGCAAATTTCAACAACCTAACAGCCAGATGTTGAATGACAGCATTGATGATGACAAACAAGCCATTATAAACCATAGGTTGGTCCTGAGTTGATCAGAAAAGTGGTCAGGTGACTGGCAAAAGGCTTGAGACAACAACTGTAAGGAGGAAATGGTACATAAAAGGGAGGTCAGAACAAGATAAATCCTCAAAAACTAGGACTGATTAAAATGGACCAAAGCCCTTGGATTCAAGCCCCACATGGAGAGGAGAGGCTCCAAACACTGGGAATCCATAAATGATTCCAAGGCCAGCTCTTAAACTGATGAATACTGGTCCATCAACTGAGGTGGATGGGGCATACCCACCCTCGACAGCAATTGTTCAACAAATTGTTGAGCGTGAACCTGTATGTCGGGTGAGGGACGAAAACATAATAATCTGAAAGAGGTTTTCACCAAACAATGAAGGTAAGGAATCAAAGACTGAAGGTGAAACATGTAAAACTTTACATATCTGATCAATAAGGTGTAGGAAAAGTGAGGTTGGTAAACTCTTGACTTTCAGCATTATGTGACTGATTAAAAAATACAAAGGTTCAGAAAAATAGTCCAAATCATCTTCCTCAGAAGCATGTTCAGGATAAGCCATCGATAGCTGAACATAAACCTCTAACTCCCTGCAAATCAATGCTTGAACTTCCTTGACAAGTATCGTTGACCTACCATGCTGGAGACTAGTGTCATTTCCATCATCGACATTTGCAGGAATGTCATCCTCCGCCACAGGTGCTATGTCTAGTGACTTGACCAGTATGTCTTCTTAAGGAATAACATGAATAACAATATGATTCTCCACCCATTTACATTATACAACGGTTGAATGGGAGATACTACTGGAAGCCTTTGCTTGGTGAACTTGCACTCTTGTTCTGTTGGCTTCATTTTCAGATGGAGATCATTTTATTATGTTGTGTACTGGTGCCTAGGACACATGGACAGCTTTTGTCATTGCCCCTTTGTGATCTTGAACACCCATCTGTTATAAGACACTGACTTCACTAACCAGGGCTAGAGGTATGACCTGTTGCAGTTTTCTTTTCTGCATGGTTCTGATGTCCCAAGTTGATCCATATCCCTTTGTTTTCCAATGCTATAAGCGTAAAGGATACCCCTTCCCATCTTGGACATTCTAAGTTCTTGCTCTGCACACATCTATATAACTTGAGTATGAGTATTTTGTGCCAGAAAGGGCTGTCACATACCCTTCCCAAAAGTAATAAATTTTTGGTGGCATCACACTACCTTCAAAATGTTAAACAATATCAAAATGTATTTTTGAGACATAGTTTCAACATGGTGGTTGCAACATGACTTACTGATTTGCATACTGAAAATCATTTTAACCCTGAGTTAGTCTTCCGGGGTTTTCATGGACCCTAAATATTTTGTAAACATCGGCGCCGACAGATGGAAGCATGTATACGTTGTTCTCAGTAGCTTCAGTATTTGGCTAGTTTGCGTCAAAGTTTAGGTGGTAAAAAAGAAACAACTTGTGATATTCATTGTTCATTTATTGATTAATAAAGGAAAAGATTTTGAGTGTTAGTGTTTTTTGTTTCCAAAATAATAGTTTATTATCATTAAAATATTTTGAAATTAATTTTTTATGATAGGGTCCACTCAGACTCTGAAAGAGTGACTATGGAAATTTTGTACAGAAGACTAATGCAGGGTTAATACAAGGTACTCAACTCTGTATTATGTTAACATATTAAAGTGTACTTGTAAGCATGTATAATAAAATTTGAAAATATATATATCTTACTTTCTGTCCATAGGCACTATCTGCAATTGTAAAACCAAATCCTCCACTTCCTTTTACTATCTCTACTGTTAAAAATTCTGGTTTGTGTGGACTTTGAGGGTTGAAGTCCAGGATATCAGGAGTGTTGTCTGCTCCACTAGGGCTTAGAATGTCTGCACTATTATGTCTTTGAGGATGTTGGTGGTCAACCTGACCCGTGCTAAGGTCAGGCATTGACTTTGAAGATCGGCCCATTGATTCTACCTCTCCAGGATCTCCTGAAAGTCGAGAGTTGTCCATTTTTGTTCCTCCTTGGCCAGAAGAGTACATACTCTGACCATCAGCATATTGTGTGTTACTAGATGTCACAGCAACTGTGGTCACTATTTCTGTGTTGGGATCATTGGGATCAAATGGTAAAGGATATCCTCTGCAAACTTCTAAGTGCACAGTGTTTCCAGGTGGTATGGACTGAAAGAGTTCCACCATATCCTGATGTGTAAATCCTAGAACACACTTGTCATCCATGAATACCAGGACATCCCCTAGGACAAAAATAAAAGTAATGAAAGCAAGAGTTAATACACATGTTCCTTGTTCACTTACAGGACAATTTTGGATTCTGGAAGAATCACTAAAGCCAAAATAAAATTTCAGGAACTGCTACCAAGTATTTAATTATGTTTAGATCAAATATCATTACTCACAGTCTTAATCTTCACTTACCATATTATTTGAATATTAAAATGTATTCAGTGAATAAGACTTGAAACAAAGGATGCAAGTAGAAAAAACAAAGAAACAAAAACAATATACATAAAACTCAAGGTTTCTCATGCTGGTTTATAGGTATTCTCTACTTTTTCTGTTGGATGATTTTGTTCAAATATTTTAATTTGCTTATTATCAGCTGCTAAGGAATCTTTCAATGACAGAGTCCTAAAGAGTCAGACAAGCATGTAATTCAAACAATTATAATAATAATTTAAAATAAAAATCTAACCAGTTTGAAGTTTCCCATCCTTCCAAGCAGGACCATTTGGAACAACACTTTTAATCTGTAAAAATTCTTCTGCATTATCTCCTCCAACAATAGTGAAACCAAATCCTCGAGTACTCTTCACTAGTGATGTACGAAGAACCTCCCCTCTAAGTTCGGCAGGGTTGGAGGTAAAGACATAAGGTAGTCTACGACCAGTTGTACTTCCTGCAAATAGGACACAGAATTGTCAAATTTAATACAAAGTTACAATAACATTACAAAAGTTGCCTTTTGTTATGGAATTCAATGCTTAAACTGTGTGTGAACGTAGTTTAAGTCAGTCAAAAGATTTCAACTCAAGGGTGTGTTACAATATAATTCCAAATGTATTGTTTTTTCTCAAAATACAGATCTCGTTAGCTAAACTAGACCCATTTTGCATTGCTCTGGTTGGAAATTCAAAATGACCTGACTAAGAACTAATAAAAAAACACTTTAGCCTAATACAGTGTTTTATGTTATATCCTTCAAAAAAGTTTATATATACAATTTAGCACAAACATAAATGATTATATTTTACACAATTTATATAACTGATATTACAATAAATTTTCTTTAAAGTTATAAATAGTACACAAAAGTTTGGCAATAGCATAGTGCACATATATATAGTACTATAACAAGTCCAACATTTGTTATTTCTAAAATTGTTCCTTTCCATCAACTTTTCAAAAGACAATGTTACATGCATTAAATTGCAAGACTGCTATTAACTGCTGCTTTCATTAGTTTCTAGTCAACAACAATTGCACATGGTACAATGAGTAATGAGTATACAATAAATATTTCTCTTCCAAGAAAAATCATGGCTTTATTCATTTCCAATTAAAAACAAATATTTTTAACTTTTGTGCTTAAAATAAGTTAACTAAGTTCACAAACCCAAATTTTTTCTCATACAGCCTTAGATTCAGTTAAAGACGAGCAAAATTTATATTTCAAATATTTTCAGCTGTATGAAATTAACCAGTCATTTGTTTTTAACGTGATTATTCACTATGTTCTGTACACACTCTCTGGTGATCACTCACTGTGCCCCATACATACTGTCTAGTGATCACTCACTGCACCCCCCATACATACTTATCTAGTGATCACTCACTGCACCCCCCCATACATACTTACCTAGTGATCACTGACTGCACCCCCATACATACTTATCTAATGATCACTCACTGTGCCCCATACATATTTACCTAGTGATTACTCACTGCACCCCCATTACATACTTACCTAGTGATCACTCACTGCACCGCCATACATACTTACCTAGTGATCACTCACTGCACCCCCATTACATACTTACCTAGTGATCACTCACTGCACCCCCATACATACTTACCTAGTAATCACTCACTGCACCAACCCCCCATTACATACTTACCTAGTGATCACTCACTGTGCTACATACATACTATCATGTAATCACTCAGTGTGTTCTGTACATACTTATCTAGTGATCACTCACTGTGCTCAATAAATGAAATGTTGTTTGCTGGTTTCAGAATGTATTCTATAAATACTAATGAATGACACTTTGTTCTGAAAACACTAATGAACACTTTCTACAAGTACTAAGGAACAATCACAGTTTTCTATAAATACTAATGAACAGTCACAGTTTTCTACAAATACTTTTCACTGATTACTTGTAGTGAACTACACCAGTGGTTCTCAAACTGCGTGTTTGCAAAAGTTCACAAAAAAAAAATGGCCTGCTTATATAATGTAAAGCAAATCTTAATGGTTCTGCTCCAATAAAAAGGCACACCTTTTCACTAATACGTAAACAGTATCTCACATAAAATTTCCATTACTGTATACTTACATGCATGTCTGATAAAACCTATGATGCACTATAGATTTTAACAGTTTTTTCTACTGGTATATGTACATGTGTGCATGGGTAAGGGGCATCAAACACCACAGACAAGGGGAAGGAAGGAGGGAAGGGTTCTGTCTAAAAAGTTTGAGAACCACTGTTCTATACACATAGTTACAGTCATTCCTGAAAAACACCTTTGAAGATTTACTAACTTATCAATGCCTGTTATTAGCTAAAATAATTATTAAAAGCTTTTTACTTTGTTTTCACTTCATTCTACATTTGGTTTAGCAAAGATTTGATAAGTTTTAAAAGTACAGAAAATCACCTTCTGTATGTTTATAAAATATTGGAACTGCCCTTTGGTTAGAAACTTATTGATTCTAGATCCTTCCTGTTGCCAGCTGTTCTCCTCCAGAACATAGCTGAACAGGAAGAGCTGTCAATACCTGGGAGCAAAGAGGCCTGCCGGGAAATTCTGTAGGGGTCCTCCCGATAGGAACCTGATTCTGGCACATACAAGTTTTCCACAGCACGGCCTATGCTGGGAAATCTAGCAATTTGGGAAAAGGTAGGCACCTCATCCAAGGTGTCTTGTATCAAAACAGATGTCTCCCCTTCCTTGGGTCTGGCATGAGAGTTAGGTATGCTGTTAAGATGCAGTACCCGAGAAGACCCCTCATCAAGAGAAGACCCATGATTATGAGCTTTCCCACCAGATACATTAGGTTCATGCTTATCACTCAGGCAAGGAATACAAGGCAGATAAGGAAAACGGGAAGAGGACTCAGGGGATGAAGAAGACACTTGATGACCCAAATGATAGAAACCTGAGGGCAAGGTTACACATTCAGTACTAGAAGTAGTAGTAGTGGTAGTAAAAGTAGAAGAGGGCACTGTTTTAGCAGTGTTTGAGATTAGTGGCGACTCACTGTTAGTTGGACCCTGGCTATGATGCACGGAAGAATTGGCACTGTCCACTCTGTAATCGTCACGTAAAGGTGGTGGCCTAGAGCGTGGAATGTCTTCTCGCTCTCGTCTACTACTGAGATCTAACCCTTAAATACAAACAAAGCACACTTTTTTTTTAATCAATCACCGAGTACTTAATTACAAACAATGTACAACTGAATTTCAAATCTATAAAAGTAGCATAAAACATTTTAACAGACTGGCATATTTTCAAATAAAGATTTTATAAGAGCTAAATGTTTCCTGTCTTTCACCTCTGCAGAACTTGAAACATGAACTTTCTCAGCTGGTGAAATGTTGTAAAACTAATTAGAAAAAGAAAAAAAGGGGAAAATATTTCGAATATTTTACACATCTAGAGATTCATATTCACAAAGAGCCTTTGAATAATATTAACTATTTATGATGCTTGTACAATTATAAAATATTTAATTTTGCTCCAGATTAAAAGCCAAATCCATCAATGCTTGATTTGTATTGAAGCAATTCTTTGTTACAAATTGTCAGAGAAAGTGACAATTTAAGTAATTCCTCAGCAGTATAAATGTGTGTATTTTGTATGTCTTTAGATTCAATAACGAGGAACCCACTTTGAAACTATTAATGCTTGGAGACAGTTTGAATGGGTAATGAAGAAAAACTTTAATGTAACAGCAAATGTACAATGTTTCGACATCATCAGGTACAAGTAGTTTACACTGACACAGAATATATATACAGTATGGAACAGAGTTCACTTGACCAGATATTGTTGCACGACTTAGAAGAGATATATTGGCACCCCAGGGTGTTGGTTTAGA